AATGAAAGCAGAGGATTGGATGGTAAGACCTTCGGCCCGCTCCCTCACCCCGCTTGTCTCCAGAAATACTTGCAACTAGGTAAAAATCTTCTCTCAGGAGGGAAGATTCTTCTCTGGGGAAACTGAAGAGCCCAGAGAAAATATCTGTGAGGTGCAGACATATGAGGGTTCCCCACCAAATGATTCGGTTCCTATTTAGTCACCCTACAATAAAGTCCATCAGCAGACCAAGTTTGTCTAGGCACAAAACATTTAATCAGCTTTTTTGTGCTGCATGTTTCAATACAAACAGACTACAAAGGATCAAAGATAAGCAAAGAACACTTTTAACATAAAAGAAAGACAACAAACAAACTGATGAACCTGAGAGAAATGTATGGAGCACAAAAAACCGTTAAAAAAGAAAAAAACCTTCAATCAGTACAAGAACAGGATGCTATCAAAAAAAGACCATTAAAAACCAAGAAAGAGGTCCTGGATATTAAAATTATGAGATCTGAAATGAAATTCAGTAGAAGAGTAAGAAGACAAAATTCAGGAACTCTCCTTGAAGGCAGAACACAAGAAACAAAGAAAGGGAAAATAGGAGAGAAAATGAGATCAGTCCAGGAGTCCAACATCTAAACGGCAGGAGTTCCAGCAAGAGAGAAAAAACAGAGGGAAGGAATTTATCACAGATATTTGTCAAGCAGCCATCTCAAAACTTAAGGCACATGTATTCAATGTGAAATGTTAGAGCACCGATGTTATGGACTGAATTAAAAACCCATGCCGTGAAGTCGATTCCGACTCAGAGACCCTACAGGACAGAGCAGAACTACCTCCACAGGGTTTCCAAGGAGCAGCTGGTGGATTAGAACTGTCAACCTTTTGGTTAGCAGCCTGAACTTCTAACCACTGCCCCACCTGGGCTCCGCTGAATTGTGCCCCCAAAAATGTGTTATACATTCTAGCCTCCATGCCTGTGGTTATAATCTCATTTGGGAATGGGTTCTTTGTTATGTTAATGAGAGGATTAGTGTAGGGGTATTTTGAGTCAATCTCTTTTGAGATATAAGAGATTAAACAAGCAAGCAAGAGAAGGAGAGATGGGGGAAGACGGATGCTAAGCCACGTGAAGATCTTCAAGGAACCAGGAAACAAGGTGAACATACAAGCATCTTCCCCCAGAACCGACAGAGAGAGAGCCTTCCCCTCGGGCTGGTGCCCTAAATTCTGACTTTTAGCCTCCCAGACTGGGAGAAAATAAATTTCTATTTGTTAAAGCCATCCACTTGCGGTACTTCTGTTAAAGCAGCACTAGATAACCAAGACAACTGAAGACCCTAACAATTTCAAGAGAGCAAGCACTGGTCATACCACAAAGACTGAGAACTGCAACAGACTTCTCAACAGCCAATCTGGAAGCCAAAAGAAAATAGGGCAACGCCTTCCAAATTCTGGGAGAAAACGGTTTTCAATATACATTTCCATACTGAATCAAACTATCAATCAGGTACAAGCACAGAATAAAGATTTTCAAACACGTAGGAACTTACAAAAACCTACCTCTGATGCACACTTTCTTAGGAAGCTCCTATAGTTTAGACTCCATGTGAACAAGGGAGTAAATAAAGAATAAGGGAGTGAATTAAAAAAGGGGAGACATGAGATTCAGAAATGAGGCAAAGGAGAGTCCTGAGAGGCCTAGAGAGGAACCAGTCCAGAAGAGAGGAGGGAACAGAGGTACAAGATGGACGTCTTTAAAAAAAAAAGGAAGTGTTTGACCTTGTGAAAAACGCAACTCAGCTGGGTTTTATAACGTTTGGGAACAGATAACCAAACAAATGAAAGCAATTAACTTTAACTCACTGGTCAAGATCACATCTGTATGTGTTCCCTGTATGTGTCTCCACAGTGAACAATAATTACAACACTGCATATTGATTTGACCAACAACTGTGATGTATCTACGGTGGGACAACGGAGGAAGAGAAACTGGGTGTGTGGAGCAGTGTAAATATATACAGGAAGGCATATATGAACATATGGATGTGTGCATAGAAGTGTAGGCATATGTATATACATGTTTACGTGTGCCGCATATACCTTCAAACGTAAAATAAGGCAGGCGGGGTGACTATATATAAACGACACCTATATGCTTGGACTTTCCCGCACAGAATACACAGGAATCAAACTGACTACATCCGTGCAGAGACAATGGAGAAGCTCAATATCATCAGTCAGAACAACGCCAGGGGCCGAATGTGGAACAGACGATCAATTGCTCATATGCAAGTTCAAGTGGAAGCTGAAGAAAATTAAAACAAGTCCACGAGAGCCAAAGTATGACCCTGAGTATATCCCACCTGAACTGAAACACCATCTCAAGAACAGATTTGATGCATTGAACACTAATGACTGAAGACCAGATGAGTAGTGTGGGATGGTATCAAGGACATCATACATGAAGAAAGCAAAAGGTCATTAAAAAGACAGGAAAGAAAAGACCAAAATGGATGTTGGAAGAGATTCTGACACTTGTGAACGTACAGTAGCTAAAGAGAAAAGAAGAAATGATGAAGTAAAAGAGCTGAACAGAAGATTTCAAGGGTGGATTGAGAAGACAAAGTAAAGCATTATAATGAAATATGCAAAAAACCTCGAGTTACAAAACCCAAAGGGAAGAAAATGCTTGCATTTCTCAAGCTGAACGAACTGAAAAAAAAAATTCAAGCCTCAAGTTGCAATACTGGAGGATTCTATGGTCAAAACATTGAACGACGTAGGAAGCATCAAAAGAAGGTAGAAGGAATACACAGTCACTGTACCAAAAAGAAATGGTCAGTCAACATTCAACCATTTCAGGAGGCAGCATATGATCAAGAACCGATGATACCGAAGAAGAAGTCCAAGCTGCACTGAAGGCATGGGTGAATAACAAGGCTCTGGGAGTTAACAGAATTCAATTGAGATGTTTCAACAACCAGATGCAATGCTGGAAGCGCTCACTTGTCTATGCCAAGAAATCTGGAAGACAGCTACCTGGCCAACTGACTGGAAGAGATAAATATTTATGCCCATTACAAAGAAAGGTGATAAAATAGAACGCAGAAATTATCAAACAATATCGAGACCACACGCAAGTAAAATTTTGCTGAAGATAATTAAAAAATAATGGTTGCAGCACTATACTGACAGGGAACTGCGAGAAATTCAAACCAGATTCAGAAAAGGATGTGAACAAGGGATATCACTGCTGATGTCAGATGGATCTTGGCTGAAAGCAGAGAACACCAGAAAGATGTTACCTGTGTTCTATCGACTATGCAAAGGCATTCAACTGTATGGATCATAACAAATTATGGATAACACTGTGAAGAATGGGCATTCCAGAACACTTAGTTGTGCTCATGAGAACCTGTAAATAGGCCAAGAGGCAGTCATTCAAAGAGAGCAAGGGGATACTTCGTGGTTTAAAATCAGGAAGAGTGTGAGTCAGGGTTGTATCATTTCACTATACTTAATTCAATCTGTATGCTGAGTAAGTAATCCAAGAAGCTGGACTATAGGAAGAAGGCGGCATGAGGACTGGAGGAAGACTCATTAACAACCTGCAATATGCAGATGACACAACCCTGCTTGCTCAAAGAGAAGAGGACTTGAAGCACTTACTGGTGAAGATCAAAGACTATAGCCTTCAGTATGGATTACACCTCAACATAAAGAAAACAAAAATCCTCACAACTGCACCAATAAGCAATATCATGATAAATGGAGAAAGACGGAAACCGTAACGAATTTCATTTTACTTGGAACCACGATCAATGCCCATGGAAGTAGAAGGCAAGAAATCAAACGAAGCATTGCATTGGGCAAATCTGCTGCAAAAGACATCTTTAAAGCGTTCAAAAGCAAAGATGTCACTTTGAGGACTAAGGTATCCCAAGCCATGGTATTTTCATCTGCCTCGTATGCATGAGAAAGCTGGACAATGAATAAGGAAGATCAAAGAAGAACTGATGCCTTTGAATTATGGTGTTGGTGAACAATACTGAATATACTATTGACTGTCAGAAAAACGTGTCTTGAAGAAGCACAGTCAGAATGCTCCTTAGAAGTGAGGATGGTGAGACTTCATCTCATATACTTTGGACATGCTATCAGGAGGGACCAGTCCCTGAAGAAGGACATCATGCTTGGTAGAGGGTCACTGAAAAAGAAGAAGACCTTCAACGAGATGGAATGACAGTGGCTGCAACAATGGGCTGAAGCATGGCAATGACTGTACAGGTGAGACAGGACCGGGCAGTGTTTCCTTCTGTTGTACCCAGGGTGGCTATGAGTTGGAGCTGACTCGATGGCAGCTAACAAGCAGCAGCAGTGTAAGAATGCCAATTTAAATTCTCATCTTCTATAACATGTCAGTAGAAGATAAATAAAACTGATGAATCACAAAACAGCAACATAAACCTACGTTTAGAAACGGAGATAAGCATCACAAGAAAAAGCTAAAAAGTTTGTAGTGGAACTCCGGGGTGGAGCAGAAGATGGCTTTTGTGTTAAAAGCCTTGTAGTGCTCTTTGACTTAAAACAATGTTTGTGAATTAATTTACAACTAATGAAAAATTAACTAATTAAAAAGAAAACGAAAACTGGTTACCTCTGGAGAGGGAGACTGTATGAAGGACTGCGGTGACAAAAATGCTTTTTTCATTTTGTTCACTTCTCTACTGCTTGAATTTTTAAAAAAATCATATGCATCTATGGCCTTTATAATTTAGCAACGAAAGGGAAACATATGTTGTCACAGTCTAACCAAATGCAAAAAAGTTGGGGAAGAAAGGAGGAATAACTTAAATTCTAGAGAGAGAATCCCTTAAGATTTGGTGATTTACCAATGCGTTAGACACACGAAACTCACTTATGTTGTATACACAAACATAAGAAAAATTATAAGACTAAACTATGGAAAATCTGCCTTCAAGATATAACAACTGATTTAATAAGTCACTTACTGACAGGTTCAATCCGGGAATACAGAACTCTAGGATGACTCCAGGTATGTATGTGATCATCGTTGGAAGGCAAGTTTATTAGTATTATTTTGCCCAGTCTATGAACCAAAATGGCAACTACTTTTTTCCTATTAAATGCAAATGGTTAAGAAAATTTTTATTACTGGTGTTATGTCCCCGAAAGGTCTCTGATCAAATTTTCTCTTCCTTAGACTAAAACTTTATTTTAAAAGATGAAAATTGTTCACTATATATTCAGCATTTAGTATTTACTTCAGAACAAAATTTAAACTCTGATAGATCCCATTCAATTCTGACATGACTATTTTTTGACAAACCTGGAACACTGACTTCTTCCTGAGCATGACCTCTACCCTTCTTAGGTGGAAAAAGCATTCTTTGAAGGAGCCCCTGAAAATCGGGACTTAGCCACTTACCCACCTGGTGTGTGAGTACAAACTGCGTAAAAGTATAATTAAACAAAGATGGGCTGAAACTCATAAATGAGTCACGTTTCTACCCTGCCTTGCTCCTCCTCAAAACCAGTCGGATTTCACAGGTGTTTCAGCGTCTCACTGCACGCAAAGAAAATAAAGCCGGGCTGGGAGCCGGGGGATGGACCGCTTAGAAAGTGTCGCCGTCAGCCAAACTGAAGTAATGCCAACAACCTTTACCTTCACTCGTCTCCGTTTTCTCCCTTTTTCTTCCCCTGGAACCTGTTTCTCTCCTTTCTTTCTCTTTTTCCGCTTTCTGTCCTTATGTTTGTCGTGATCATTTCTGTCTTCCAAGAGGCTTGAGTCTTGCCCCGAGCTGCCCGTAGAGAGCTCGGTGACCTCGTTTCCGCCCACTTTGAGGACCAGCTTCAACGGCTTCTCTACATACTCTTAAAAAAAGGGACGGGACTCGATTAAAGGAGTATCAACAATGCACAGTGACCGGGGAGCAGGAAAGGCAGGTGGCGCAAACGACGCAGTGGGCGCCCTACAGAACACCTGTTGAATGACAGACACTTGCCAAGAGACCGCAGCGGCGCCGCCCGCCCCGAACATCGGCGGGCCGTCCCACACCTCCCAACAAGAGACCCACCCGGGGCCGGGTGGACTTGAGTTCGAATCCCGCCCCGCCTGGGGTCTGCACGACCTCGGGGCGGCCGCACCCCCTCCGCAGATCAGGCCTGCCCGTGTGAAGAGCGGCCCCGGTCCACCTCGGGCGCCCGGGGGGAATTTCGAAAGAACAAAAATCCCTCCGAGCCCGCCGCGGGTCCGCCGGCCCGCCGGGCCAGCCCACTCCTCACCTTCGTAGAGGTGTTTGTCCGACTTGTGCTTTTTGTGCTTCTTGCCCATGTCCGACCGGGCCCCGGTACCCGCCCCCCGCGCCAGGCCCAGGCCTTGCGGCGCCGCTTCCGGTCCGGGCCAGGCGAGCGGAGGGCGGGAGCGGGGCCCGCGAGATCCTGCGCCGCGAGGCAGGGGAGCGGCGCGCGCCAGGCGGCGCGAGGCCCCTCAGGAGAAGACGGAGCGCAAGACCCGGCCGGGGCCGGAGAGCGGCTGCGAGGCGGCTAGCAGCGGCGCAAAGGCGGGAGAGACGGCCAGCCGCGAGCGCAGGGTACGGCCGACTGCACGCAGCAGCCCCTGGAGGCCGGAGGTGGCCCTGCAGCCTGTGGGTCTGGGGCGGAGTCTGGGCCGGGGACGGAGTCCGGCCAGGGGGCGGGGCTAGGGCCGGAGCCGGGGTCCACCGCTCATTGATGCCTACCCGGGTCTCTTCTCTCCGTCTCTTCCTCTCACCATCTCCCTCTCTCTGTCCCTCTTTCCCTGTCTTTTTCCCTCTCTCTCTTCCTCCGTCTCTTCCTTTCTTCTCTTTTTAAAAAAACTACCCTCCTTCCTTCCTTGATTTTCTCTTTCTCCCCACTTACCTTTGCTTCTATTTCTTCGCTTTTACAGTGCTTCCTGGATCCCGTACTGGGAGCCAGACTCAGCAAACGCAGCACGTTGGGAACTGAAAGATTTTAGTCTTCAAAAATTTCTTATGTGCTGATATGTAAAGCCCTTATTATTAAACAACAACAATAAAGTATGGAGCAGGGTGTATTTAGTAAGATCCATTTGTGGAAATAAATGTTGACATCTAGATTAAAAGGCTATATGGATGGATACGCAAAACTGATTAACAGTAGTTATCCCAGGTGAACCCCTGGTGGCGTAGTGATTAAATGCCACAGCTGCTAACCATAAAGGTCAGCAGTTCGAATCCACCAGGTGCTCCTTGGAAACTCTATGGGGGAGTTCTCTGTCCTATAGGGTCGCTATGAGTCAGAATCGACTCCACGGCAGTGGGTTGCGTTTTGGTTTTTTATCTCAGGTGACTAGGGTGGAAGGTGGAGTGGATTATTTTACTTTTATACTTCTCTCGATTTGGGTTTTTTCATATGTATGTTAAATTGAAAAAAATGAATATTTCTCAACAACAAAATAAATTATTTAAAAAAATGAAAAGAAAGATGAAATTCAGAAATTTCCTGGTGGCGCAGTGGTTAAAGCGCTCAGCTGCCAACCAGAAGGTCTGCCCTTTGAAACTACCATCCGCTCCAGGGGAGAAAGATGTGGCAGTCAGCTTCCGTAGAGATTTACAAGCTTGGAAACCCTCTGGGGTCGCTATGAGTTGGAACTGACTCCATGGCAGTGGGTTTTGGGATAAATACATTAAAGAATTCCAAAAAAATCTATGAAGATATATCTATTGCATGGAATCCACACCAAACAAGGGTCTGGACAATGTTGCTTTGTAAATGGACATCTGCTTCTCACCCTGTTTTTAGCCCTGTCATTCACTGTCATCCTTAGATGCTGAGCCCTACTGTGGTGATGAGTTATTCACATTACTGTCCATCAGCATTTACTCAAAAATACAGTGATAAGATGTATTTAATATAGGGATGGTCAATGTAGACTACAGGGAAACAAAATAATGTCGATATTTTCTATACTACAACCTTGTAAGATAGGAAGAGCAGATAATATTCTTATTCCCATTTTATAGATGAGGAAATAGATGCCCAGAAAAGTGAAGTAGGTTGCCAGTTAGTAGTAGAGTTCAAGTCCAGGTTTTCTGAATCTGAATCCCAAGCCTTTTGAACTTGTGAATGGGGTAAAAGATGTCTCGATGACCTCTACTTCTAGCCATTTAGTGCCCTGTATATTTTCAGATAACCTCATAGTCACAGCCTGCTCTCAAGAAAGGATCTGGTATCAGTCATTTATACTTCAGTAAGAATTTGGATCCCTAGATCACTTCTGCCAGTCATTTATACTTCAGTAAGAATTTGGATCCCTAGATCACCTCTGCTAGGAGGATTTGCTGTTTTAGCTTGAACTCCAATGGTGATAGGGAAGACTTATGTTTCTGGATCCTATTGTTGGCAAGTGACCAAAACACAATTTGGATTATTTAAAGTAAATAAAGAGATTTATTGGTTCACATATCCAGGAAGGGCAGGATAAAGCTTGCCTGAGAGAAGAGGGTGTCACGGATGGAATTATGTCCCCCTAAAAATGCATGTATCAATTTGGCTGGGCCATGATTTCCGGTATTGTGATTTTCCTATATGTTGTAAATCCTGCCTCTATGATGTTAATGAGGGAGGATGGGTGGCAGTTGTGTTAGTAAGGCAGGACTCCATCTACAAGATTGGATTGTGTCCTGAGGCAATCTCTTGAGATACAAAAAAGAGAAGAGAGCAGAGAGACGGGGACCTCATACTTCCAAGAAAGCAGTGCCGGGAGCAGAGCGCGTCCTTTGGACCTGGGGTTCCTGCGCAGAGAAGCTCGTAGTCCGGGGGAACACTAATGAGAAGAAGGCTGACAGAGAGAGAAAGCCTTCCCCTGGAGCTGGTGCCCTGAATTTGGACTTTTAGCCCACTTTACTGTGAGGAAATAAACTTCTCTTTGTTAAAGGCATCCGCTTGTGGTATTTCCGTTATAGCAGAACTAGATGACTAAGACAAAGGGGAACCAGGAATTTGATGCTGTTGAGATTCTCTCTTTCTCTGTGTCTGTCTTTGTCCTGTCTCTCTCTGTATGTTGGACTCCATCTTTTTTTATTTTATTTTTTTTAATGTGGCTGGAAACATGGCAACTGGCAGCTGCTTCTAGGGTCTCTTCTTTGTTGTTTCCTGACCAACTGGGAAAAGGGTCTCCTCTCTCAGCTTCACCTAGAAAAATCCCAGGGAAGGGCTCTGACTGGCTTGGCTTGGCTTAGCTTGGGTCACGTGTTTTTTTTTTTTTTAATTGAACTTTAGATGAAGGTTTACAGAACAAATTAGCTACAGTTAGTACATATATTGTTTTCAGACATTGGTTAACAACCCCATGACATGTCACTCTCCCTTCTTGACCTTGGGTTCCCTATTACCAGCTTTCCTGTCCCCTCCTGCCTTCTTGTCTCTGCCCCTGGGCTGGTGTGCCCCTTCAGTCTCATTTTGTCCCATGGTTCTGTGTATTCTTTGGCTAAAAGGTGAACCTCCGGAATGACTTCACTACTGGGCTAAAAGGGTGTCCAGGGGCCATACTCTCGGGGTTTCTCCAGTCTCTGTCTGACCAGTAAGTCTGGTCTTTTATTTTGAGTTAGAATTTTGTTCTACATTTTTCTCCTGCTCTGTCCGGGACCCTCTATTGTGATCCCTGTCAGAGCAGTCGGTGGTGGTAGCTGGGCACCATCTAGTTCTGCCGGACTCAGTCCGGTGGAGGCCATCGTAGTTGTGGTCTCTTAGTCCTTTGGACTAATCTTTCCCTTGTGTCTTTAATTTCCTTCATTCTCCCTTGCTCCTGAACGGGTGAGACCAGTGGAGTATCTTAGATGGGTGCTCACAGGCTTTTAAGACCCCAGATGCTACTCACCAAAGTAGAATGTAGAACACTTCTTTGTGTACTATGTTATACCAATTGAGCTAGGTGTTCCCTGGGTTGGGTCACATGTTTTGTGTGCAAAGCAATGGGATAGTATCATTGATCCAGCTTGGGTGCCAAGTCCACCCCATGGCCAAAAAGAGTGGAATCTGTGATTGGCAGTCCCACTAGACCCCCATGGTTAGCAGGGAAGATCAGGTTGCTGTAATGAAGGGAGTTGCTTTTCCATGAAGATTAAACATTTGTGTCTATTACCTCCCTGTAACAAGCCTCTCCAGTATCTATGAGGTAGAAGTGGGGGTGGGGACAGAGGAGTTGAGCTGGGGAAGGGCAACCTCTGTTGCTCTGAAATGAAGCCACTCACACTCCTAAGTATAGGACAAAGCTTTGTTTCAGCTTTTCAGTTGTTGACTGTAATTCTTTTTGCTTTAAGGAGAACCACTCTGCCAAGTCCCTCTGTGGATCTGACCTCCATTGTGGCATGCCTTGATCCAGGCTAAAGCTGTGTGTTTACCTGTCTTGCTTCCCATCACCCTGCGTGCTTCCTGAGGGCAGAGTCTCGTCTCATTCCCCTTGGTACCTACAGTATGTAGCACAGGGCGTGGCTATGCATTTCCATCCTTCAGTGACAACTGCTGTCCAAATGCCCCTCACAGCTCTCTCTTTCTCTTCCTCTGACCACTTGTGGTGGAGGAAACGGATCTAGTTAACCCACTCACACTATGGAGTTAGTTATTTGCCTCCCCACTCAAGAGAATCCCTACATGGGTCCCAAGGTGTTCACAGCAGTGAAAAATGAGTAAGAGCATGCAGCAGAAAAATACCTTACAGAAAAAGTTCCTGGAAGGCAGGAACCCCAACTCATCTACTTCTGTATTCCCAGCACCAGTAGTGTGCCTGGCATAGGAGGCACCAGAAAATGCTAGTTGAACTGAACGATATTGTGGCAAGCAGACTCCAAAGTGACATCCAAAGATCCTCATTTCTTGTATTCATGTGCTCCCCTTGAGTATGGACTGGTCTAGCAACTTGCTTCTAACCCATAGAAGATGGTAAAGGTGATGGAATGTCATTTCTGTGATTAGGTTACATAAGACTGCGATTTCTATCTTGCTAGCAGACTCTCTCTACTACCTTCTCATTTTGCATGCTTTGATGATGCAAGCTACCATGTTGGAGAGGCCCACGTGGCAAGGAACTGTGG